CCCATGCTAGTTTTCACATACCTTATCATGCTCTTTGCACCCATTTTACTTAGGAGTTAAATAAGTTGTGACTATTAGCAGAACTTCTGTTTGGTAACAGCAGTACAGCATCTAAGATTAATGCAGTTATAACTCGATTTAGAAGTTACAGTAATTATCTAAACACCATCCCTTACAATACTAGTGCTGCATCATAAGTTCTGGCTGGAGAAAGCAGCAGGTCACTTTTTTTAATGAAAGGATTTGCCAATTTTTTTTTTAAAAGACATTTTTAAAGATTTATTTTATCCCATTTCTAAAGCCCTGCACAAATACTAAATTGATATCTGTATCTGCAAAAAAAGGGACCATGGATATTCGCATCCACAATGCAGATACCCGCGGATACAAAGTGAATATCCACGTATTTTCAGGGCTCTTTCCATTTCCTTCTTTTGCAGATGCCAAGTGGTTAAGCGCACACACTGTTTCAACCAGAAGAGGTCAGTTAGTTTATCTATTTCATCTGTGCCAGTAGTTTTGCTTTTCACTAACACGATGGCAGGCTGCCAAATATGAATACGGAGTCTGTCACAGTTTTGCTGACATAGCATTTGCTTCTCAAATTCCTCTCCCCGCACCTTTACCCAAGAAGAGTTTTCTAGTCAAGATGAGTGGACTTTAACTCCTTGCCTTCTAATGACCAAAGCAACAAGGTTTTACATCCCAAATATGATTGCATTTTGTGGCGCAGCGATCCCTGTATAGATATTGTTTCTAATGCACGTAGGGTCTGTTTGCAATGAGATGTTACATAAGAAAGCAAGCCAAGAACATTACAACATAATTGGTTGTAGAGCTGGACCAGGGAAGAAGTGCAAGACCTAAGAGGAAACAAACATGCATTCCTTTCAATGATTCTTCCTCCCAACATTTCTGGTAAGAGCCTGTTCAAGTTACTGGTTCCTAGCTTAGCAATCAGTGAAGATCTCATGAAGAACACCACTTAACTCTTCCATAGCCTCTTCCAGCCAACGGCATCAAAGCATACCAACATACATTAAATTAAGATTCAACCCCACCCTGAGATTGACCTCACCATTTTTGAAAGAGGCCAAGTGATATGCTCAAAGCCATGTAATAGCTGGAAACCAAATTATTTCTGATTCACAGTATTGTGCTTCACAGGCACTAAAGTGGCCAAGCTTCCTTTGGCACAGCGTGTTGTTCCACAGTACCTGATGGCAACATCTATGGTGGCAACATACCAGTCCCATACTCCCAGCCAGCGCTTAATCAAGACTTGCAGGAAATTCTTGTACAGTCAGACTCTCCGGGCCCAATCTTGAGAAGTATTAAGCAGCTTCAACACTTCTTAAACCCCCTACAGCATCCAGCCCTTTCCCAGTGATTAAATCTTTAGATATTCTTGCAATTCTTCTGCTCCCCCCTGCTTCCATTTCTCCATTACATTAGCAGTTAGAAGAAGTCTCACTCTCAGACTAATTACCTATGGCAGCAGGCTAGGATCAAGACTTTTCATGAATAAGCAGCACTCACAAAAAAAAATTGATTGTTGCAATGACAGAGTTGACTTGCTAGCCCATGATGTAGCTAAATCTAATCTCAATACTCCTGGTTAAGTCAAAGCAAATGTTGGGCTGCTATCTTAGCCAGCTTCCCTTCTGAAGCCAGGAAAAGAAAAAAAAAAGTGCACACCACCATTTTATATGCTCAGCTTCCCAGGCAGTACATTTTCCTCCCCCAAAACACCCAAGTTAATGTACCTGCATGACAATGTAAAAACAAGAGTGAATAATCACTCTTGCCACCGTTGTCCCAATTTTCTTAATTCCTCCTAGGTTTTCTGGTCCTCAGTTTTCCAAGTCACTGTGTCCCAACATGAATTGAACATTAATGCTTTGCGACCAATAATCTGAGTCCGAGCTCCACGCAATAGATTGGAAGTGCAGAAAACCCAACACCTAGTCCCAATCAATCACCATTGCATTGTACTAGAGCTGTGTTTCTGAAAAGCAACACTGACTTTCTCCTAAAACATGTCCTGCAGGCAAAACCTTACAGGAAGATTCATTAGTCTTGAGCTTGTAACATTTTCCTGTCAGGGCAGAATTGCACAAGATGGCATAGGGCCAGGAGGTCTCAGGGTTCTCGGGCTGCCCTGAGGAAAAGTAAACTCATCTCTAATTGGAAGCCTGATTTCACTGGTGTTTTTATGTTCGTGTCACAACTCTTGCCCCAATGCGACTGACTCTGCCTTAATAAAAGGCATTGCTGAAGTTTTCACAGGAGAATCATGTCAGCGCACTAGCGAAGCCAACCATCTCACCATGACTCAACACTGCTTGAGTCAGACAACTCAGATGAGACAGTAGCAATCCTGTAGCATTTTGAATCCAAGTTACTTGGTACAATTGGACAGTTCAGCCAAACTGAACATTGGTAGTAAGTCAGATCTTTGTTACAAAAGGACAAGAATTTATGTATCAGATTTTTTACTTCCCTTCAAGGAACATGATGAAAATCCACTTCTCTCTCCATGCCAACTGTGAAGAGATTTTCAACTGTTAAGTATTTTCAACTTAACTTTGTCAGCAGAGGACAGCTTTGTGCTCAAGACAGGAGGGAACTATAATGATTCTATGGTGTTTGGCTACATGAAAATAATTCACATGTTACACAGTTAATGTATAAAGGTAATTAGAGGTGCTCTGGGAGGGAATCATTTTGTTACTTGAGTTCCCATCACTCCTCTGTGAATCAAAAAGTTAAAAAGATCCCTGAATGACTGAAATGGCTCAATATCCCAGTGTGAACAATGTTTCATGATTTTTTTCTCCCAGTTGATCATTTTCCAATAGCCTTTTGAAAACTGTATTTTGCTACAGACACTTAATAAAATTGATTAGGACAGCAAATTGTTTTTGATAACATGGTTTGTAATCTTTGGCGCACTCTCTGTTGTATAACATTTCTTGCACAGTATTCCCCTGGACCCTAAAGCGGTTAGGTTACAAGACCTTAGCATGTAATTAGCCATAATTAATGAAGGGTCCATGTTTGTTATGTGTTTGTACAGCCCCAAACACAATAGGACTCTGATCACAGATGGGACCACCCAACTCTACCCAATGCAAGTGATAAAAGGTTTTTTGGGATGCAAGCTATAAATAGCTACAAGATAAACTTCCAAAAAGGAGATAGTATCAAGGAATCTGAAGAACACAGAACAGTATTAATCTGAGTAAATGGGCAAATCTGGAAAGGATAGCTTTTTACTTACGCCTAACAGGAACTGAATAAATATGGTAATCTCTACCGATCAATCTGTCATTACTGAAGTATTGTAATTTTTTTCAGTGGTATCTTTATTTTTAAATGCAATGGTTACATGAGTGTTTTATAAATAGTATTTTTTTTTAACAGAACACAAACCTTTCCTTTCACAAGATACTCTAGCTACCATAACTCAAAACAACAAATAAGCAGAGCCATGTTTCCTAATTGGTGGGTCTCAACCAGGAAGGTTCTGGGTGAGCTACCATGCACAGAGCCAGAACACCACACCACCAGTTCTGACATAAGCAATGTATATTTCTGGACAGGTGTGGATGGGAGGCTTAGGGATAGGGCAGGGGTGAGCAATTTGGAGAGCAAATTACCCATGGGACAGGGCCCCAGCTCCCCACTCCAAACAACGCAACCTAACACAGCCATAATGTCTGGAGCTGGCAGAGCAAGTCCAGTCCTGCAGGACAGCTGCTACTGCCACAAAGTGAACTCACTCTCCAAACCCCTGCACCACCATCATGGCTCCTTTCTGCACTGGGTCAGGGTTAGGGTTACAGTGCCAGGGCAGGGGTGCATGCTTGTAACAACAGATCTCATTTAAATAAAAAAAATTTTAAAAAGGACAAAAATGCAGGTGCTGAGTCACCTCAGTAAAGTTTGGGAACCACTGAAGCAGAGATAAAGTTTTATTTTTTGGGATGCAGCAGCAGCGGTCATGTTTGGGTCACAGTGGACATTTTTGTAACCCAGAGCCTGAAGTCGTGTGCCTAACAAAGTGGTGCAATTTTCAGGAGTAACAGACACCCACATCTACCATGGACTTCTAAGGGAGTCAACTTTAAGTCCTGGGGTCTTTTTTGCATTCCCTTTTGTGGAGCCATACAAATATGCTTGCTATATGTATGTATTGCACATGCACGTCTTATCTTGAGATAAGAGACTTCTTAAAAGAGAAGTCACCTCTGTGTTCCTAGGAGCTCTCACTTCTTTTACAGCCAGCAGCTCTAGCCATTCTGCTCCCTAGCCCAACTCAGCCCACTCACTTGCCCTAAACAAGTGGGCTTTCCCAGGGATGAAATTAACAGATTCAGATGCTAACTTTAACACACCCAAGGGCCATAATTCATGTCAGAGAGGAGATACATCCCTGAATATTTGGCCATTTCAGAGTGATACTGTGTGGTTATACTTAAAAGGAAAAAAAAAAATCAGCAGAATTTTCTTGGTTGTGGGGGAGGAAAAATAGGGCTGAACAAATCCTAATACCCTTCAATTTTAGTACTTAGCATTAAGCTTTGAGAGGCAATCAAGAGGCAGAAATTCAAGCTCTCTAGCTGGTTTTAGAGCAATTATAACTACTGAGAGGAAGGAACCTGAGTGAGTCTTTTACTGTCTGAAAGGCCATTATTAGTGTTTGAGAATAGAACAAGCATTTTGCTATTGATAGCTTATGCCTATGTGGTTGTTTCGGACTAGAGTGAACACCCAGTCATTGTCAAGGCTGGGAACAGATTTCACCATCAACGCATATGGTGGGCATGCAACCCCAAACATTTATCAAAGTGTCAGCCGCATGCCTATACTTAAGGTGCTATTAATAGAACCATTTGATATATTCAATGTGTACTTTCCAGTGTGTGTTGTAACATGATCCAATTACCAGCATAAGTTTAAAAAAAAAAAAAAAAAAAAAAAAAAAGAGTTCTCACCTGTCTGGCTACCCTCCGGGCCTCCCAGTAAGGTTTAGAGTCTTCCACAGCTTTTCCAATCTTCTTAACAAGTTCATCTAGTTTCACTGTAGCTTCCACCAGCACAGAACGGAATTTCTGGCGTGCATCCTACAAGAGAGGAAGAAAAGAAGAGGGAAAGTTAGTGTTTGTGCAATTTTATTTTGTCTGTTGCTTCTAGTGTAGGGATGCGGATTAGGAGTCAAACAGCAGACAAGAATGTAAGAATCGGGATTGCCATTAGTATATTAAACAAGAACTGTTCATCAAAATATCCACTACCCTAGAATGTACCCAAAAGCTAATATTTCCATGTTGGATGTCAGAACATATCTCCAGAAAGTGGTGTACATAAACATCAGGAAAGCATACACCAGAAAGGAATTCTTCATAGGCCAGTGACTGGGAAAGGCCAAGAAGGGGAGGGGAAGAACCTCAAGGAAGGTAAAGGACAAAGACACCTGGCATGTTGCGTGATTTTCTAATGCAATGATAAGCAGTAAGTGTCTCCTGTGGCTTTTTGCAGCACTTGACATTAACACACTGAATTATTTATTAACCAATCAGAATGCTTTTACTAGGTTAACAACCAATTGTTCTTGATAAAAATAATAATACATGATCATTTTGCTATGAGAGTTATACACAAAACATGAAACAATGTAGTCACACTACTGTTTGGGGTAATGATAATTAATTTGGCTACTGAACCCTTGAGCATCACTGTTCTAACACACAAGTGAGCAATTCACAATCCTGCACACTCTCTCAGTGATTTGGATTTTTCCTTTTAAGTATCCTCTAGAAAGGATAGGGGCATCTCTTGGGATTAGTTATGGTAAGCTGGACAGCTACATGCTTGCTAAAGGAATTTAAGGAGGAGACTTTCAAAACAGTTTCCAGAGTTCTGGTCACTCTGAGCATCTCTGCTTAACACGCTGGACCTGGGTCTCCACAGATCCTGACAAAGCCCAACCCCATATTGGTAGTTC